CCATCATCCCATCCAGACAGCTCACAGCGCCAGTGCTTACAAGTCAGCAGAGAACAGCCCCTCTGCAGCCGGCTGGGGACTTGTTGACGCAGCCGCTTAAATATGCCTTGGGGGGGACAAGTGGTTCCAAAGACATAAAGACAAATTGATGTTAAAGGAAGGTTTGGCATGGAAGAGAAGAAAATTGTACATCCCAGCCAGCCAGAGGACCTCGCTTCTGCAGAGGAGCCACGATGTGAAAACCACAGGCATTTTGGGTTTGTGAAAACCCTTCATTTGGTAAAGAGACAGTTTTGCTGGCCAAAGATGAAAAAGGACATAGATACCTATGTGGCCAGTTGCCCTATATGTGCCTCCATGAAATGCCTACCTCGGAAGCCTCCAGGCTTGCTACAGTCGGTAACCCCCACTAACCCATGGGAGGAGATACTCATGGACTTTATTGTGGAGCTACCTAAGAGTGCTAGGAATACTGTCATTAACATGTTCTCAAAGCAAGCATACTTTGTGGCATATCCGAGAATTCCTTCAGTCCGCATCCTAACCAAGACGTTTGTGCAGCATATCTATAGACTGCATGGGGTCTTGAAGCGCATTATCCCAGACCGGGGGGTGCAGTTCACAGCAAAGTTTTGGCGGGAATTTTTTAAAATGATAGGCTCTTCCCAGGGGCTTAGCTCCGCTTATCATCCTAGTACCAATGGAGGCACTGAACGTACTAACTCATTGGTAGAGCAATACCTGTGCTGTTATGTAAATTATCAACAGACTAATTGTGCCGAGCTCCTACTATTCACCGAAGTGGCATATAACAACTCGGTGCATAGTAGCACAAGTTTTACCCCTTTCAAGGTAGCCACAGGGACTATGTGCCCATGCCAGAATTCCCACAGGGAACCCCATCCTCAGTGTCATTGGCTAGTGGATAGATTCTTTGAAAGCCATGTGGGGCACCATGCGTGAAGGACTGAATAAGACTAGGGAAGTCAAAAGAGGCAAGCAGATCGAAGAAGAGCCCCCCCCGGAGAGAATTTAGAGTGGGGGATAAGGTGTATTTGTCCACAAAATATCTAAACCCAAGGTAGCCCTGTAAAGAGATAGTCCCAAATATAAAGGACCTTTCCAAATCATCTGCATTGTAAACCTGGTGATGGTGGAGCTGAAGTTGCCAAAAAGCCTTAGGCTGGTTCACTGGTGTTTCACTGCAGTCTTTTAAAACCTTTTTGAGATTCTAGGTTGAGACCAATCAGAGAACCACCTCCTCCTCCCATCCTAGTAAAGGGAAAGGAGCACTATGAGGTCAAAGAGTCTCCTTAAGTCTCAGTCTCTAGGTGTGCCTTGTCGATAGGGATGGGGCGCTCTCCTCCCGAGTAGTTGAGCCTGCCTGCGTTGTTCCCTCCTTCTCTCCACTCTCCGTGCTCTAGGATCAGGAGGGGGTGGCTCTTGCTCATCACCTGAGTTCTATCTCTCATGTTCATTCTGTCCCAATCCTGCAAGGCCCTGGCCTGCCTCTGCCTGCTCTTCACCCACATTCCTCTGAAGCCACACACCTCTCCCTCAACCTCCATAGGCTCCAGTTCCAGCTCATTTTCCTCAGCAGATTCAGGCTCCGACGGAGGCATGACAATATGTTTATTACTGTTTCAGGTCTATCCTTCAGGTCTTTTTCAGATCTATCCTTCTTCTAGGGCAAGGGTCCCCAACCCCCAGTCTGTGAACCGGTACCAGGCCACGAAATGCTAGCAACCGGGCCGCACGAACAAGCAAAGCCCCATCTTTGGGATGCAGGCAGCACACAAAACCACGCACTCTCCAGTCCGTGAAAAAAACGTTTTCCACAGAACCAGTCCCTGGTACCCAAAAGGTTGGGTACCTCTGTTCTAGGGGGGTCGGCATGTCAAGACTGATTCACACTTTCACCTACACTTCCTCTTCACTCACAGCTTGACAATAATAGGGAGAGGGTGGTCGGAATGTAGGGGAGGGAGAATAGTATTCAAGCATCCATCAACACCATAGGACATTGCTGGCATCCCAAGGACACCCCGAGTAGATGTCTCAGTATTACAGGCTGTTTCTCATAACAAAATGAATAGGCATGATTGATGGATGTTTTGGACTGTGGGTGGCCTGTAGGGAAAAGCGAGGATTAACTACACTTGCTTTTGTGTGGGAAACCCAGGGCTGGTTTCACTTCATCTGTGCCAATGTGGTTTATTCAGTAAAGTTTATACCCTTGGAAAAACAATGTCCCAGGAGTTCCTTTTTCAGGATTCACCAACAGGACAGTTGACAGCAACAATCCAACCTCCCACAAGAGAAGCTGAGTAAGGACTTTATTTAGACAAACCCAAATGTATTACAGCAACTCAGAACAACATAAAAAGGAAATGGAGCATCTATACAACATATTCCAACAAAATGGACATCCATGCAACTTTATCAAAAAGTCTCTGACCACTCAACACAATACAGCACAACCAACACAAACCCTTAAAAGAATTACATTGCCATACATCAAGAATATCTCAGAAACCACCAACAGACTACTACAACTACATGGAATTAGCATAGCACACAAGCCAACTAAAGCCCTCCAAAACATCCTAAGCAAACCAAAAGACCCAGCAATCCCAGAAGATAGGAGTCATCTACAACAGTGCTTTTCAACCTTTTCACAAATTTAGGATATGGCAATACTTGAGTACCACCAGTCGCCTAGCAAGGTGTCAAAAACTTCATGACCAAAAAAAAGAGAAAAAAATGATAAAGTACAGGTAGTCCTCAACTTACAACAGTTCGCTTAGTGACTGTTACAACAGCACTGACTTATGACCATTTTTCACACTTATGACCATTGCAGCATCCCCAGGGTCATGTAATTTATATTCGGATGCTTGGCAACTGATTCATATTTATTACGGTTGCAATGTTTCAGGGTCATGTGATCCCCTTTTGCAACCTTCTGACAAGCAAAGTCAATGGGGAAACCAGATTCACTTAACAACCACGTTACTAATTTAACAACTGCAGTGATTGACTTAACAAATGTGACAAGAAAAGTTGTAAAATGGGACAAACCCATTTAATAAATTTCTCATTTAGCAACATAAATTTTGGGCTCAATTGTGGTCATAGGTTGAGGACTATCTGTACATCCGCTTACCACACTTTAATGGAAAACTTGTGCCTGATTCTCTGACATTAATCTTTGCACTGTTCTATCTCCTTCTCTCCCTCTGCTTTGTTTCAAAGAAGCCTCTCCTCTTCTCCATCTCTCTTTCTCCGTCCCCTTCTCTTTCCCCGTCGTCTTTTTTTTCTTTGCCTTTCCCACCAAAACCTCCTTTTTTATATCCCCTCCTCTCTCCCCCTCCTTCTTCTTTTCTCTTCGGTGCAACTCCAGCTGACTCCTCTCCCCCAGGCCGTGTGCTGCTCCATCTCTCTTTCTCCGTCCCCTTCTCTTTCCCCATTGTCTTTTTTTTCTCTCCCTCTCCTGCCAAAACCTCCTCCTTTTATATCCTCTCCTCTGTCCCCCTTTTCCTCCTTTTCTCTTTGGTGCAATTCCAGCTGAGTCCTCTCCCCCAGGCTGTGCTCTGCTCCCAGAAGCACCAATCAGCTGGTGCCCTGCGCCAATCAGCTGGAGCCCAATCCTGGGTGCTCAGCAGAGCCCCGGCAACACCGCAGCTCTAACTGACTCACCCACAGGCCTGTGCAGCGCTGCCGCCGCTTTAGCTCATCCCCCTGCTACACTTTTACACTTTTTTAATACTTTTTTTTACAGTTCTTTTCAACCCATCATATGCATACCACCTGCCAGGTGCCGACCTACCACCAGTGGTATGTGTACCACAGGTTGAAAAGCACTGATCTACAACATACAATATAAGAACTGGAACAACCAACTATGTAGGAGAAACAGGCAGAAGATTGGCAGAATGCATGCATGAACACCAACTGGCAGTCAAAAGGCATGATGAAATTTTTTTAATTTCACAATATATAGACAGATTTAACCATAGTTTCAATTGGGAAAATGTGACAATCTTACACCAGGCCAAATCCAAAAATGCCAGGGAATTTCTAGAAGTCTGGCACTCTGATAAATTAGCCATCAATAGATACATAGACATTAACAATATCTATAGACTATGCAAAAGAGACTATCAACCAGCCCAAAAGGGAACAAAAACACTCAATCACCTCTCCACCAGCAATCAGCACCCAGATGAGCATAGATTAACTCCAAGTTAATATCAGACCAATCAAGAAATTGCCAAAGAACCAACAGTAAATAGCCCCAAACAAAGAATCTCTAAGCCTCCCCCCACCAACACTGACAGAGAAGCCACTAGAACAGTGGTGGTGAACCTATGGCATGCATGCCAGAAGCAGCACTCGGAGTCCTGTCTGTGGGCATGTGTGCTGTTGCCCAAGCAGAGTTTGCCAGAGTAGCAACCACATGACGTTTGGAAGTGACAGGGCAGGAAGTGAGCAAATAAGCAGCATTGGCCCCCCAGAGATGGCAAGGGACTGGCGCCGGCCACACTCACGCAGTCTGCCATGACCACTGCAGCCACGCCCACCCAGTAGGCCACACACCCCACCCACCCCGGGGGCACCACAATGCTGATGCAACCCTGGCACTTTGCGATAAATAAGTGGGTTTTGGGTTGCAGTTTGGGCACTCGGTCTCTAAAAGGTTCGCCATCACTGCACTAGAATATAAACTGATAGCAAACAGCACTCCTTACTAGAACTGATGATATTACCTAGTTTGGGTAATGAAACATCTGCAAGAAAACAAGTAAACTCAGAGAGCACCAAAGACCTCTCAGTGTTAACTACTGTAAAGAAGGTATAATTATTCTCTCTGTATGGGTCTCTATGTCTCTATATTTCTTCTATAATTTATGTATTTTTATTCTATAAAACAAAATAAACTGCATGCTGCTTTTTATACAAGGTATTTTCATATGTTACAATTTAAATGTGAAACTAACCTGTTGATACCTGCAGCATTAACCAGATAGCGTATATGACCTAATTTGTTCTCTATTTCTTTAAATGTTTTTTGGATGGCTTCTTCTTTGGTGATATCACAACTCAGTGCAAGATGACCTGCTGTGTTGAAATGAAATCTATGATGACATGTAAATTACTCAAAATCAGGTTTGCAATTCTTAAAGCAGAACTATTGTAAAAAGAAGTAGTAATTTTTAGATAACTGAAAACAAGAAACAGTAAGGGTGCAAGTTTTTTTCTGAACAGTATCTATTACTGAAAAATATTACCGTATTTTCCGGCGTATAAGACGACTGGGCGTATAAGACGACCCCCAACTTTTCCAGTTAAAATATAGAGTTTGGGCTATATCAGGGGTAGGCAACCCAAAACACTCAAAGAGCCAATTGGACACGTTTCCCACCGAAAACAAAACACTGGGAGCCGCAAAACCCTTTTGATATCTAAAATGAAGATAAGACTGCATATATCCTTTTTTACCTTTATGATATACAGTATGTGTGTGTGTGTGTGTGTATGTTTGTGTGTGTATATATAAAATAAAGGTAAAAAAGGATATATGCAGTGTTATCTTCATTTTAGATGTCAAAAGGGTCTCTCTCTCTCTCTCTCTCTCTCTCTCTCTTTATTTATTTATTTATTTATTTATTTATTTATTTATTTATTATTATATTTTTACCCCGCCCTTCTCCTTGCGGACTCAGGGCGGCTAACAGCCTAATAAAAACAAATACAAAAGTACAAAAATACTACCATTAAAACGTAATTAAAAGGAAATATTAATTTGGCCTTTGTTATTTTAAAAATTGTTTTAAAACCCAACTAAAAATACCCCTGAGACCAGTCCTGCCAGCTTAAATAGCCATGTCTTGAGGGCGCGGCGGAAGGAAGGGAGATCCGGGATCACCCTGATCTCTGGGGGTAGTTCATTCCATAGGGTGGGAGCTCCCACCGAGAAGGCCCTCCCCCTGGGGGTCGCCAGCCGGCACTGTCTGGCTGACGGCACCCTGAGGAGACCCACTCTGTGGGAGCGTACTGGCCGATGCGAGGTAATCTGAGGCAGAAGGCGGTCTCGGAGATATCCAGGTCCGATGCCATGGAGCGCTTTGAAGATGATAATCAACACCTTGAAGCGCACCCGGAAAGCCACCGGCAGCCAGTGCAGCTCGCGCAGTAACGGCGTTACATGGGAGCGACGAGTCCCTCCTAACACCGCCCGCGCGGCTGCATTCTGGACTAACTGGA